TGTTTTTATTATTTTATTTATATCAGCAAAAATAAAATTTGTAACCCACGAACCACTGCCCAAGTCGAACAGTTTAGCGGTTCAACCACCCAGGTCAGCGGTTTTTTGACTTTTTCAACAGGTTTTAAGGCTTTACCGATTTATAGTATAACCGGACCCAGGGAGCTGAACGGTTACCGGTTTTTCCGGTCCAACCATCCAATCCGGTTTTGAAAACCATGGTCCATACTACCTCCATCACTCAGATAATCCTAGCACAGTTCTAGTAACCAACTTACTTATGGAGGAGATTTATGCTACTTGGAGCGTAGCCATGACCATGGCACTTTCGGCCAAGAATAAGCTTGATTTTGTTGATAAAAGCATCACAAAGCCCAAAACATCTGAGGCAAACTTATTAGCGTGGCAGCGAACAAATAACATGGTTCTTTCATGGATATTGAATGCCATACACTGAGATCTTGCTCCAAGTGTACTATACACAACATGGTTTTTAAAAACGAATCGGTGACCGAACCGATCAGGGGTCCGATTACCGGTTTGAACGGTCTGACTGTTTGAACCGAATAGCTGGCCTGTTCTGACAAAAATAAAATAAAAAAAATTAAAAATTTGGAAAACGGTCAAAACCGTTCGAACGGTTAACCGGCCGGTTCAACGATTTACTGACCAAAATCAACGGTTTTGGGGGAAAAAGCGGTTTTGAAGGAAAATGAAACCGGTCAGATAACTGGTTTCCGGTTTTTCTGGTCCAACCGTCCAGTCTGGTCCGGTTTTGAAAACAGTGGTACGCAGATTCAGCTGCTACGGTCTGAATGATAGGTCTCAATGATGGGTCTCAATGATAATGTTCGTTCTCAGATCCTTCTAATGGATCCCTTGCCCACCATTGGGAAGGCATGCATATTCTTTGATCTTACAAGATGAAACACACACAACTATTGAATCACACTCCACAATTATTCCTGACAGTGCTGCACTTAGTGTGAAATCAGCGTCGACAACCAGCACAGAAATTTCTACTAACTTACCCTTGGCAGCCAATGCATCGTGACCACCAAAATCAAAAGAGTTGTGGGGCATACTCGGGACATGTTCTACAAACTCCATGGATACCCTCCACATTTCAAGCGTCACAGTAATAATGCAAGTAAGTCGTGCCCATCAAAAGAGATAATCTAGACAACAACTCGAATTCCTCATCAACTGCCAACACTCAAATCTTGACCGAACAATATAGTCAATTCATCAAACTTCTGAATGAGATAAAGCTCTCCACTCCTCCTGCTAATTTTGCTAGAATGTCATCTTGCCTAATTTCTCAGTCATGGAATAGCACCAATTGGGTCATTGACATAAGTGCTAGTGAAGATATGGTGGGGAATCCTAACTTGCTCTCCTCCACCACCAAACACGACAAACCCCTAACACCTATTACTTTACTTGATGGTCGTGTTACACCAGTCACATCTATTGGTTGTGCCTCACTTAACAAAGATCTACCACTTACCAATGTTCTTTACCTACCCAGTTTTCATTTCAATATCCTTTCTGCCAGTAAATTGACTTCTTCATTACATTGTTCAGTGACCTTTTATTGTGATCATTGCATGTTTCAGGACCTTGTGACGAAGATGGTGATTGGACTAGGTAAAGAGCATGACGGAATCTATTATTTTTTTGGTGATACACCACCAACATCACTCACTTCTACCCAATCCAGTTTTGACTTATGGCACTAGGCCCTTGAATACATTTACGTCTAGCTTTCTTGATGTTAATTCTGCTTCTTGTTCATCTTTACATTGTGATGTTTGACCCTTGCTAAGCAAACACATCAACCATTTGTGAAGAGTTCTATTACTATTGATTCACCCTTCTCTATAATCCATTGTGACATATGGGGTCCGTACTTCATGCTCTCCTTTTCTAGAGCAAAATACTTCATTTCCATTGTTGATGATTTCACTAGATGCACATGGGTCTTTTTGATGCAATTTAAATAAAAAACTTTGCACATTTTACAATATTTTCATTCCTATGTAACGACCCAATTTAATCTCTCCATTAAAATTTTAGCACTGATAATGGTAAAGAATCTTTTTTCACATCCCATGCAGTCTTTCCTATCTACAAAGGGCATTCTCCATCACCATAGTTGCATCTCTACTCTCTAGCTCCCAACAAAACGGCATAGTCTAGCGGAAGCATCATCACTTACTTAACGTGGCAACGTGCCCTCCATTTCCAATCTAGCCTTCCCCTTGCTTTCTAGGGTGAATGCATCTGCTACATACTTAATCAACCACACACCTTCCTCATTGCTTCAAGGTCGCACACCCCATGAAATGTTATTTCACAAATCACCTCTTATTCATCACCTTCGTGTTTTTGGTTGCCTTTTCTATGCATCCACGAGGCATCTCTCCCATAACAAGTTTGGTCCTTGGGTTCGCCAGTGCATTTTCATTTGATACCCACATGGTCAAAAGGCATACAAGTTGTATGACCTATCCACCCATTCCATCTTTGTAAGCCGTGATGTGGTTTTCCATGAAGACATCTTCCCATTCAAGTCTTCTACCCCTGGCATTTCTTCCTCTTCCACTCCATGTGTCTTGCCTCAATCCATTGTTGAGTACCCTCGCTCCATGGATGTTCCAATTAACTAGTTGTCACCATCAACATCTCTTGTGCCTCTCTCATCCACGTCAACACAGTCCCATGATACATCCATTTTGGCTGCACCACTGTCTCCTTTTCGGACCCGTCAGCCTCCACTTTACCTTGATGACTATTGCTGTCATGTTCGAGACCAAGGCCAACTCACCACTTCATCAAGTAAATTGTATCCAATTTCTGATTACCTCTCTTACAAACACTTAAGTCCACACCATTTTGCCTTCACTATGTCCATTAACACGCATCTTGAACCCACCTCGTTCACTTTAGCTGTTAAGGACCCACATTGGTGTGACGCTATGGCCAAAGCAATTCAGGCCCTTGAGGCTAATCACACTTGGTCCATTGTGGACCTACCTCCTGGTAAATGACCCATTGGATGCAAATGGGTCTTCAAAATAAAGTACAACTCTAATGGTTCACTTGATTAGTACAATGCCTAACTTGTCGCCAAAGGCTTCACGCAAGTCGAAGGCATTGATTATCATGAGACGTTTGCTCCCATTGCCAAGATGAGTACTGTGTGTTATCTCCTTGTAGTTGCTGCAATCAACAATTGGCTGGTTGACCAACTTGATGTCCATAATGCATTCTTACATCGCGATCTTCACAAAGAATTTTACATGCAAATTCCACGAGTCTTGCCAAATATGGGGAGAACCAAGTATGCAAGCTTCACAAATCCCTATATGGCTTAAAGTAGGCCTCATGGCAATGGTAAGTTCTCATGTTGGTTGTTAGAGGGGAATTGGGATTGTATCCTGCATTTGTTTATGTTGTTTTAGAAGAAAATCTGGTCTAAAGTACTTTTTTTTGATAAATAATCTGGTCTAGAGATTGAACCGTATTTCCCTCCGGATCAATGGGTCAAGCTGTTGTCATTGAACAAGTCAAGTCAGATAGGTTAACAGTTCAATGCATGGTTTTTAAAAACCGAACTGGTCAGGGGTTCGATTACCGGTTTGAACGGTTTGACCATTCGACCCATTTTGACAAAAAAATTTGAAAAACGGTCAAAACCGTTTGAATGGTTCGAACTATTAACCGACCGGTTCAGCGGTTTGCTGACCAAAATCAACGGTTTTGGGGGAAAATGACCGGTTCCTAGTTTTTCCGGTCCAACCAATGATATGGGGTTGATAGGTTATTGACCAGGTCAATGGATTTTTGCAACTGGATTAGATGTTGATCCGAAACCGAATTGTGACCAAATGATCGGTGCAACGGGATGGGTTATAATTTAAAAAACTGGTATTGGGGTTTGAAGGAGGGTAGCTATGCATCCATTGTGTAGCCCATTTGCTAGAACACATGGGTGGGAATAAGTGATCCTTAGACTGTATTTGGTTGCTGTGTAATTTTATTTGCACTAGTACAACTGTATAGGAATGTAAATTCTGGTTTAATTTTGTTTTGTATTTTGCTTTATTGTACTTCAAGTCTTATTTTACTTCATTTATATTACGATCAAACAAAATAAAATAAAACTTGAAATAAAAATAAATCATAATTTGCACCCAAATCATTTATACTATCGTAATTTTGCATTAGTGCAAATGGATTTAGAGTGCAACCAAACACAAGCTTAGGGGACAAAGCAGAGTGGACATGGGGCCCATTGGCCATGCCCGTGAATGAATGACCATAATTTTGGTTGTTTCCACTCTCCAGAGATCTAAAGGCCACCTTTAGGCTTAACCACTTGAGATACAATCATAAAAAATGGTGGGTGTGAGACTGTGAGGTGGTTGTCTACTTTCGGAACAGAAAAAAAAATGGAGATGGGATCTTCTAGTCTCACGTCTATCCTTATCCTTGTGCTTCAATGAGAATCCATCACATTTCTTGTAAAATAGTAGTCTGATGGTCTCATACTTACTCCCACATGAGAACAATATAAAGGTTTGAAATCCCAATAACAAATGACATTATCCAAGCATCCTATCACCAGACCAGACAATGACCCAGATAAATAATACCTAATTAATGCCTTCCTACCTGGCTTGGTTATGTCATTTGTTATTAATGCCTTCCTACCTGGCTTCCCGTATCATCATCAGCACAAGAATCCATTCCAAAACCTTATGGTGCTATAAAAAGATTGGTTGTCTTGCTCCATCATCATCAACTGTGTTGCTCAAGGAATCTTATTCAAGACTGGAGTGGAAGAGGACGGCTCACACAGATCCAGTCACATGCAACAAAATTTATGTCTATTTTTATCATTAACCATCTAACATGTATGCTTCTAAAGCTTCTTAAAATTACGCAAAACTCCCTCAATAAGCATTTCCGCGTTGCTTAAATGGGGATGCTCACACACTATTAAACTAATCCAAAGTCCAAACACACACACACACACACAGATGGGGTGGGCAATTGCTCTACATGGTGGTGCCGGAGACATCCCGCTCTCGCTGCCACCCGAGCGCAGAGCGCCACGCGAAGCTGCTCTTCGCCATTGTCTCCAACTAGGCGTCGCAGCTCTCAAGGCTAAACAACCACCATTGGATGTTGTTGAACTAGTGGTAACCCACTTCGTCCCATTTTTCTTCTGCAATCTCATACCCATTTTTCTTTGCTATTTGGAAGTTTTGCCCACTTAAATGTCTACTTATTATTTTGCAACTCTCTCTAGTTTTCGGAATCACTAAAATTCTTCTTTCGGTTTCTATGTTGACATATTGTGCTGTTTGGGTCTGCGGATTGAACCTTTGTTTCTCTGGAACAGATATTCTTTGATGGTTGAGACTTTCTTTATAATCTAGTTATTTTCTCGAGCGAACGCGATTCTTCATCTATCCCCTGTATATCGAATTATATATCAGACTTCTATGGGCTACCCCCTTTGTGTTTGATTTTTTTCTTCCTTATTGTGTTTCGCTCATTTATAATAAAAACTAGTACCATTCTTTTATCAGTCTCGATTTGTTTTCCCTCTTTATCGTTCTCGGCATTTTCCGTAGCTGGTGTTGGTTCATAACTGTATATGATATTTTTCGTCTCCTGTACTTTTTTTATTGATTTAAATTGACTTACCACTATAGAACTTGTCACTGTGCTCGATCGGAGCCACTACGTGCAGTGATCAGAAGGGGTGAGTTTCTCATTGTTGCCTCATTCTGCAAAGATATATGTTCTGTAAATGGTTTTTTTATATGATTTATTTGCTTTTTGTAGGTTTTGCTTAGTGACTGCTTAGAACCTGCATTATCAATATTATCTTTGTGTGCCTTGATTGAGTTTGTTGCTGGTTCTTCCTATATACTGGCAGATACATGAAATCCCCGTTTTCTCCTTTTAACATTTGCCCTTTGGAGGGGCTATATTGGGTTGTTTATATTTCATAGTGCTGGATGACTTTGTTTTTATTTATTGCTATATTTACCAGTTAAATGCTTATAAATTTATTATAGAAGATGTCTGCTCATTTTGGTATTTTCATACTTGAACCGAGTGTTCAAGACCAAGTCAATCCATGGAGGCATTACAGTAATATGTGCCCGTTTTCATTTTCATATTCCTTTGGGAACAAAAGTCAATCAAATAAATACTTTATGTTTATTTTCATGCTAGTTTACATGGAAACTTGCATGATTTTCCTCAGATAAGAACTTCTAGCTCCTTAAAGACTTCTGGTGTTCATGGGCTTTGGCTTTTATCTCTACTCGGACTAGTTGTTAATTCATATCTTGGTTTGATTAAAGTGAAGTCCCTACTGCTGACGGTGTAAAAAGGAAGGGTCTTAACAAATTTTCTGTGTGAGTCTTCTGTCCACAGGTTCGAGAGCTTGAAAATAGTCCTTGCTTTAATGCGGGTAAGGGGTCTGTATTGACTACCCAAGGCACAGTAGAAATGGAAGCTTGCATCATGGATGGTAATACAAAGAACTGTGGGGCAGTTTCTGGTCTTTCCACCGTTGTCAATGCTATATCTCTTGCCCGACTTGTTATGGAGAAAACCCCTCATATTTATCTGGCGTTTGAAGGCGCAGAGGCATTTGCAAGGGAACAAGTTAGTAAAGTTTATCCTTTTTTAAATGCTTATTTTGTAAATTGTAATCATATGGATGCCTTTCTTAGCTGTCATCTTGCTTCCCTACTTATTTTGAGTGTGAGGGCTTCCCAGGTACCAGTATTTTTTTCAGCTTCTGCTCCCACTTCTAGTTCTACAAGTTACATAAGGATCAATATCAATGATCTTGGTAAGCACATTTTTTATGTCACACATAAATGTGAATGAGGCATCCATGGGTATTCTGGAGAATTAAAGTCTTGTTTTATTCTAAGGGGGCGTTCTTTTTTCTGGATTTTGAGTTGGTTGGTGGGATTTTGATTCCCATTGACCAAGAATCCCATGTTCTTTTTTCAGATTTATGTGGGGACTAGGGAAAGTTTATTTTCCTGGTATCACTTAGCCGGGTAAGTCTTTCCTGGGAAACACTTAGCCGGGTAAATAACTTACCAAAAAGCGAACGGGGCCTAATGTTAATCTAAAATTTCCTCTTGTCATTTGCCATTTGTTTTTCTTTCTTACATTTTCAGCCAAAAAATGCAGTTTCTATAAATTTGTGTGCTTGACTCTCTATTATTGTTTTATATGTACAGGGTGTTGAAACTGTAGATGCAAGCCATTTCATTACCCCAGAAAATATAGAAAGGCTAAAACAAGCAAAAGAAGCCAACAGGGTTCAGGTATGCCCCCTGCCTTCTTTCTGAGTTCTGACATAGCTGAGAAGAAAACGGTGCTCATTACATTTTAAATGCCATAATTGACCATACTTGCAATTTTTTCCCGACATATAGCTTGTGACCATATAGCTGGTGATGACCAGCTTGCTTGAAGTTTGTGATGATCCAGCTTGCTTTACCTGTTCTTTGTTTCTTTTACAATTTTTTTTTTCCTGATATGTAGCTTGTGACCATATAGCTGATGATGACCTTTTTATATGAAGCTAGTTTGTGATGATCCAGCTTGCTTCACCTGTTCTTGGTTTCTTTTATACCAGTCTAGTGAACCTGAAGTGTGAGCCTAAGTAGATATTCAGAATTACTACTTTAAGTTTTGTTGTTTCTTATAGCCAGGCCTAGACAGGAAATTTGAAAAATGGGTAGTTGAAATGCAAACAATCTTCTTTAAATTGATAGAAGGATGCATATATCAATGCGTTTTGTCTTTTCTAGAAGAACTTCCAAGTGTTTGCTTTGCACCACTTGTTCTCAGGCAAATATCACTCTTACAGATCCATATCTAATAAATTCATGTTTTTTCTTATCACTGAGATGATACATCCAAAAGCTCAGATCGTAAAGAAATAAAAGCACTCGAATTACCATGTCTCTTCAACTGCAGTGCTAAAGTGATTTATCAATTCGTTCATGCCTTGCAGATAGATTACACGCAGCCCATCCAGAAAGACCTACAAAATGAAACACACATTGCCAGTGGAGATAGCCAAATTGGAACGGTTGGATGTGTGGCTGTTGATGACCAAGGAAACTTAGCCTCTGCAACTTCCACAGGGGGTTTAGTGAACAAGATGGTGGGAAGGATTGGAGACACCCCCGTCATAGGTGCTGGAATTTATGCCAATCGGTTCTGTGCGGTCTCTGCTACAGGAAAAGGTGAGTCAATAATTCGTGCAACTGTGGCTCGGGATGTAGCTGCGCTAATGGAGTACAAGGGTCTTTCTCTCAAGGAAGCAGCAGCTTACGTCATAGAGGAATGCGTTCCAAAAGGCGATGCTGGCTTAGTTGCCGTCTCTGCCACGGGGGAAGTCACCATGCAGTTCAATACTACAGGCATGTTTAGGGCTTGTGCTACAGAAGATGGGTTTTCTGAAATTGGAATATGGCCTTCAGTGTAACTGTAACACAGAGAGATTCTATCAAGTTTTAGTTTGTGAGCTGTGCAGCACTGCAGCCTGTGCTTGATCACCCAATCAGTGGGAAACATTACTTGAACAATCACAAATAAAAATTGGAGGTGCTTGTGTATGAAATGTAATTAATGGTTGATGATGTTACAACAAATTAAAATGATGCCATGCCTTGCCCTGTAATTTTTCTTGGGCCTCCTTGGAACCGCCTGAAACATGTTAGACGTTATCCTTTTGGCCATCGGAGGAGGTTTAAGTTTTGGAACCTATTGATCTCGTTGACCGTTCAATTGTTAGGGTTGACTTTAAATTGACTATAGTCAAATATATGGTTTGGGCTAATACTTAATAATGTAGGGATATTTGGTGGGCCTCCGATTGCACCACATGGCATCGATCAAGTCGAATCCTGGTCGCACATCATCAACTTACAACCATTATAAGGCAACATCAGCTATAAAAAGGGGTGCTCATTTCAAGGTAAAGACACTAACTGACTTGCATTTAGAATCTCAAGAGAATCACTTTTGTCTAATAAGGATTAAGCTCTAAGCCTTTGTCTCTAGCTTGGTCTGACCCCTCTTAAGCACTCGGCTAACTTGACCGTCGGAGTCTTTACACCTAGGATAACACCTTGGGCCTTTGACATGTACTCTTCTCTTGTTTATAGGTCGGACCTGTCGGCCTCGAACATCAGCAAAATTCCCTTGTTACTCTTGGCCTCATATTTGGCAGCAACAGTCGGCGTCGTCTGCAGGAATGTTTTCAAGACTTCCCTTTAAGAAACAACTTTACTTAATTAATCAAGTTTTTTACATGGCCGATAAGCAAGACTAAACTCAAAGTGCTCAGAACCTAGTCACAATGGACCAGTTCAAGCTGGTCCTTGACAGGCTAGACAACCTAGCCCAAAGGTTGGATGAGGTGGGCATCCAACGGGAGGCCACCCGTAGTTGTATCCAATTACATAGAATCATTTATAATCATTTTGCCATATCAGCCTTCTTTTTGAATCATGTGGTTGTGTTTAAAAAGCTATATATATCTCTCATAGTGTTAAAGAAATAGGGATTTTGTTGGCTCTGGAATCATGATTTATTTCCTCTAGAACGGTAGAACCAACACAAAATGAAAATGACTTCTAAAATGCTGATTGTGTTTGTAAACCAAATGAATTATAAACACAACTATGAAAGAACGCCCCCTAAAATGCTTTATTTATAAAAGTTTCTGCTTTGAGCTTTAGGATGTGGGAAACAAAAATGAGCCAAAAGAGTGATTTGAGAGTTTGGTAAGAGATGCTTTTGGAAACATAATACTAATCCAAAGTACTTTTAAGTTTTGAAATTTGGGGTTTTGTGCTTTAGGGCTTTGAAAGCACAAATTCCTTATCCAAATGCAATAACACAAGGTTTAAAATTTTGTCACGTATCGGCCCGTATCGGTTGATAAATATCAGTTTTTCAACTTACCAGCACGAGAGACGATCCTAAATCAAATGTACCGACTCTTTTCGCTGTGCTGAAATATTATTGAGTTCGTATTGGGCTGGTATCGGCCCGTTTCATTATGTTTCGGCTGATACGCTACCGATACGGTAGTGTATCGGCCGATACACTATGAATTCATTGTTGCGGAAATATGAATAAAATAGCCTTCAAAAGAGGACTTCTAAACCCATTTCAGAAGCCCTCTTTCTTCCCTAAACCCTCCAGAATCTTCACATTCTTAGAGGGTATGTTTAAAAAGTAGCGAAAATAGGTATGTTTTTTCAAAATTTTTTACATTTTCAGCCAATGTTTTTGTCTTTTTTTTTGTTTTAGTTTGGATGCCTGAAAATATCTTTATGTATGTTGATCTGCTATTCTTGTGCAAAAAATTTCACTTATTTTGTTGCTATATGTAAATCTTTGTGAATATTTGAAGAAATTCCAGAATAATAAAAAATCTGAAAAAAAATGAAATTTTTAGGTTTTTTCTTGTGATCTACCACTAGAAACTGACTATGTTGTAGATCTATGGATGACCGACCATGTCCATAAATCAATAGAATTTTTTTCTAAATAATTGATTTTTTTTTTATTTTTAAAATAAAAAATATATAATTTCTTTAATTTTATGTGAATTAACCCTATAGGCTGATTATGTTGTAGATCTATGGATGATCTACCATGTCCACAAATCAATTGAATTTTTTCTCAATAATTGATTTTTTTTTATTTTTTAATTTTTGGAATAAAAAAATATATAAATCTTTAATTTTATGTGAACTAACCCTATAAGCTAATTATGTTGTAGACCTATGGATGATCAACCACGTCCATAGATCAATTGAATTTTTTTTTTATAAATATTTGATTTATATATATATATATATTTTAATTTTTGGAATAAAAAATATTTATAATTTCTTGAATTTTATGTAATTTAACCCTATAGGCTGAGTATGTTGTAGATCTGTGGATGATTTACCATCTGCATAGATCAAATCCATTCAAATTTTCTGTTACATATTTACTTAATTTTAATTTAAATTTTAGAATAAAACATGAAAAATAATTATTTGAATAAAAATAAATAATTATTTGGTTTTTAGAAAATTAGAATGAAACATGCAAAATAATTATTTGATCTATTATATCCATAAATCCATTCAATTTTTCCGTTACATATTTAATTTTCCTAATTTTAATTTAATTTTTAGAATAAAACAAGCAAAATAATTATTTGAATAAAAATAAATAATTATTCAGATTTTAGAAAATTAGAATGAAACATGCAAAATAATTACTTGATCTATTATGTCCATAAATCCATTCAATTTTTCTGTTGCATATTTATTTTTCTTAATTTTAATTTATTTTTAGAATAAAATATGAAAAATAATTATTTGAATAAAAATAAATAATTATTCAATTTTTAGAAAATTAGAATGAAAAAAGAAAAATAATTACTTGATCTATTATGTTCATAAATCCATTCAATTTTTCTGTTACATATTTAATTTTCTTAATTTTAATTTAATATTTAGAATAAAACATCCAAAATAATTATTTGAATAAAAATAAATAATTGTTCAGTTTTTAGAAAATTAGAATGAAGCATGCAAAATAATTGCTTGACCTATTATGTCCATAAATCCATTCGCTTTTTCTATTACATATTTACTTTTCTTATTTCTAATTTAATTTTTAGAATAAAACATCCAAAATAATTATCTGAATAAAAATAAATAATTATTCAGTTTTTAGAAAATTAGAATAAAACATACAAAATAACTACTTGATCTATTATGTCCATAAATCCATTCAATTTTTCTGTTACATATTTACTTTTCTAATTTTAATTTAATTTTCAGACTAAAACATCCAAAATAATTATTTGAATAAAAATAAATAATTTTTTAGTTTTTAGAAAATTAGAATGAAACATGCAAAATAATTACTCGATCTATCATGTCCATAAGTCCATTCAATTTTTCTATTACATATTTACTTTTCTTAATTTTAATTTAATTTATAGAATAAAGCAAGCAAACACATTGGAACTGAATTAAGTACTTTATTAAATAGTATGTTTTTGTTCCCGTATATTGATTATAATATGTTTTTTTCATAAAACCCACTAAATATGTTATTTTTTTGCATAAATAGCTCATTTATTCCTAATATTTAATGATATTAATGTTTATTTATGATTTATTGGAGTATTTATAGCATTTCTATGCGTATCTTAATTTTTCGTCCGTATCCATATGTATCCAAGGCATATCCCGATACATATTTTAAATTTGCCTTTCCAATACACATAGCATTTTCGATACTTTAAACCTTACAACAACAACGATAATTTGTTTTTCATTTTGAGGGGCATAATAGCAACACAAATTATGGATACAACCAATTTTCATACTAACAAATAAAATTTTTATATTTTAATGTGTTTCTTCGGTAAAGGGTAAGTATTTATTGATACCGAAATTTTATTTTGTAAGAGCTTTTTTTTTTTTTATTCATCAGCGTTCTTGCCTCACAATTGGACATACGTACTGGGCGGCCTCTCTAGACATTGGAATGGGCCTTCAAGTTAGACCCCAGAAACTAAAAAGCCTTCTGTTGAGCCCAGCTATTTGCAATCCTATGACATATTTTTCAAAGCAACTCTACGTTTTGTATAATAATATTCATTTGTACTGAGAATTATAATCAATCAATTTTATAAATGTTGAGAGCAGGACTGAAAGTGCAATTTTAGTGAGGCGAGTCAGGTGACGGATCGGACCGTTTCACTCCAAAACCACTATTTGGCCAAAAACTGTTGATGTTGATTTGATTAGTGAACTGTTGATTTGGGCAGTTGAACTATTGATTTAGAGAATGATTTTTGGCCATTTGTATTTTTTTTTGTCAGAGTGGGTCACTCATTCAGACCCAATGGTCAGACATCGAAAACGTATGTATTTTGTTTCGTGGGTGTTTATGGATGGGCCTTTTATTTGTACTTTTTTCACTTTAAACATTTACTATTTTTGTTGTTTGGTTGGACATCACTTTAAATGTTTTTTAACTTTCCACCTCAGATAATACATATTAAAGTGTGCTGTGCTACATTAGCATTTGGATTCAAAAAATGATGGGGCATTGGGGGAAACAAGAATTTGATGTTTCCTCAAATGCCCCATGTACAAAAATCAACGTGTTTTAGTTTTCTACCATTTATTTGATAAATGGTGAAACCAAACAGTTGTTTCATATTGTTTCATATGCCAACACCTATGTGAATTGCAATAAATGCTCCTCCATAGTTCAAGTCTAGTCCAACACAGGGTTCCAACAATTCATTGCAGCCATATATCTCCCTTGTCTCTCATGGCGAGATGTTCCTGATGCACGGCTGCAATGGCTTGTTGGGACTAGATGTAGACTCATTAAAAAAAGTTCATTGTGAGTGTTGATAATTTATTGAAACTTGGTATTTGGAGTGGATTTGAGCCGAGGTTAGGCTCGGCTCGCCAAGACAGTACAAGGCTCGGCTTGACTCAATTAATAAACGGGTTTATAAATTGGGTTCAAACTTGACTCAAATAACTTGTGAAGAACTCGATTTGTGGCCACCCCTACTTGATATAAATAAGTGCTTGACTAGAGAAAAATGTAAGAAAAAATTGCGTGATTAATCAATATGTTGAGACTATTGGAATGAGTCAAGCCAAACTGTTAAACCTTTTAGAATTCACATTTCAGAAAACATTTTGATAGCTCTCACCCTCACACAAGTTCGGATCTGGTCCCAACACAAAGTCCCAACAAA